AACCTTGTTACTAAGGACTTGAACCCATGTCAGAGTGGGTTTACAGTATATGTTTTGAGCTTGAGCAACCTCAGAGATTGCCTCTGTTTGTCTTAGGTGATTGTATAACTCGGGAAAGGATTTTTCCCAAAGTAGGTAAAACGGGGCTTAATCCTTTGGTAAATCTCACATGCATTAGTTATGAGGACAAGGGAAAACCCAGGTAGAAATAAAAGTTAGACAATTTTACAGCTAAATAAATGTACTAATAAAAAATAGTTACATTATTTCAGCCATTAATAAGATCACTATAGGTTAGCTTTCATTTTTGTTCATAAAATGAAAGCAGTGTTTCTTGTTTGAATTATGCCATGTTCACTAAGTTTTATTTGAAATCAAATATTACTCAATTTGTATATAACTACACTTTTATGATTATACAAATATTTAAATTAAACTTTATGTAGTAGTGACAGACTTTACTCTGGAAATGTGTCACCCTGAAAGAGTTTACTAAATTGGCTTTATGTCATTTTGAATAACAGCTGCCTACATGAACTTAAGAATGTCAACTTTAGTATGCTTCCCAAATATACAACCTCACTTATTCACAAGAGATTATATAGTTATAATAGCAAAGTAAAAACATGTCAAATAAACAAATAAAATATAGCAACAGAAGAAAAAAATAGGCCATCAAAATATTTCATTGCCATTTTGTCAAATTCATACTTGGCTAATACCACAAATTTACAGATTTACATAAGTACTAACCTAAGTTTATATGTTTATGTGGCTAATAAAAAGCAAAAAAAATTGGAAATTATTAGCAAACTTATACATATAGATTTTTAAAATACTGTGTGTTAGATTGATTTTTATTCTGGTTTAAAATTATTAGATGTTTTCAGCATCTACAGAATATTTAGCAATGCCAAAAGTTAGCTATTAAATGTTGGTATTTTACAGTTGCTATGCTATAAATTATCATTTATTGTAAGTTATGTTATTGATATAATTTATTTTAAATGATAAGAAAGAAAAATGCTTTCCCAACATTGACAAGAATATATCAGTACGGGCAGACTTTGTTCTATACCCTTTACAGGTTGCCATTAATTGATACTCCCCATAGGTAAGTCCAGTGAATTTTTTAAATGGATTACTTCTGACAATATTATCCCAGTAAATGCATCTTAATATAGTGAATTATTTATGCCCAAATCCTAAGTTTATCTTGATGAGTTTTCTTCCGTTATACCCAAAATTCAATAAATCACAGTCCGTTAAATCTACCTTTAAAATATTCATTGATTCTCTTTATTTTTATGCATTCCTCTAGTCTCCATCCTATCCCAAGGTCTCTTCATTAACAATAGCTGAAAGTTCTACTGACTATAATAAGAAAAATAAATAGCACAATAGACAGAGAAAGGTGCTCAACAAACATCCATGAAAGAATAGGAGTTACCAAGGTGCTACTAGGTGACTCTCTTATTGCTACTTTCAGTTTACAATAGAAAAGTTATAAAATTGCTGAGTTGGTAAACAAATAACTAGGTCCAGATCCTGGCTATTGTATATGGTCTTGCTTGCTTCCTTTCTACTTTATTTCACTTTTGCTTTTTTGCATTAGTACATAGTAATTGCATAAAATAATATGCTTCATTATGTCACTTTTATACATGCATTCATATATGGCCCTCTCCTGGCCCCTCCTCACTCCTGGTATCAACCCCCAACAAATAGTCCAATTCCATGTTCATGTCTTTTCTAAAATCTAAATTCCATATATGAGAAAAAACATGTGGTGTTTGTCTTCTGAATCTGGCTTATGTTGCTTAACATGTTGAACTCCACTTACTTACGTTTTTCTACAATTGACAGGAGACCTACACTGATTCCATAAGTTGGTCATTTGAATACTGTGGTAATAAACATGGGTTTTATTTACATTCCCACCAACAGTGGATAAGGGCTCATCACCACCCCACAAACACACACACGCACATACACACACACACACACACACATGCTCACGCACACACATACTCACACACGCTCACGCACACACACGTTCTTGATGATAGCTGTGATGACTGAAGTGAGGTGGAATTTCAATGTATTTTTGATTTGCACATCCCTGTTGGTTGATGGTGTTGAACAGTTTTCATTTATTTATTGGTCATATATATATTTCTCCTTTTGAGAACTTTAAAATTCATTTGCCCATCTTTGATTGAATTATTCATTTGGTATTTAATTTTTTGAGTGCTTAATATATTCTGGATGTTATTCACTTGTTAGATGAAAAGGCAAAGTTTTTTTTTGCATTTTCTAGGATGTCTCTTACCCTAGTGAATGTGTCTTTTGATGTACAGAAGTTTTTAATATGATGCAATCCCATTTATCAATTCTTGCTTTTATTTCTTGAGCTATTGGAGTCCTATTCAGGAAGTCATTGCCTATGCCTGTTTTTAATTGTTTTCCTCTATTACTTTCAAAGTTCCAAGTCTATTATAGAGATCATTGGTTATTTTGAATTTCTTTTCCTATAGGTGAGATATAGGGATCTAGTTTCAGTCTTTACTTGTGGATATCCAGTTTTCTCAACAAAATTTGTTGAAGAAATTCTGGATTTTTTTCTAACATATGTTTCTGACACCTCCATCAAGAATCAGATGACTTTGTCTGTGTGGACTGATTCCTGGGTGCTCTGTTGTATTCCATTGGTCTATTCATATCTGATTTTGTGCCGATGTCTTGCTGTTTTTGTTATTATGATTGTGTAATGTAGTTTGAAATCGGGTATTGTGATAGCTCCAGTATGGCTCTTTTTGCTCAAGATTGCTTTGGCTACCCATGGTCCTTCATTGTTCCATATAAACTTTGGTATTCTTTTCTATTTCTGTGAAGAATGTCATTAAAATTTTTATGGGGATTGTGTGGAATCTATAGATCACTTTCAGTAAATTAGCCATTTTTACACTATTCTGTGATCCCTGAACAAGGAAAGACTTTGCATCATCTACTGCATTCTTCATTTTGTTTCTTTAGTGTTTCATAGTTTTCATTTATCAGAGTCTTTCACCTCCATGGTTAGGTTTATTCCTAGACATCTTTTGAGGTTATTGTGAATAAGATTGCTTTCCTATTTTCTTTCTCAACCTGCATGTTATTGATATACAGAAAAGTTACCAGTTTTTATATTTATTTTGTATCATGTTACTTTTCTGAACGTATTCATCAGAAGAGTCTTCTGGTGGACCTAAAAGTCCTTTAAGTATAAAATCACATCACTGGCAAATAGGCATAATTTGATTTCCTAGTCTTCTATATGTATTCCTTTTATTACTGTCTCTTGCCTTTTTGATCTTGCTAAGAAATCAAACACTATATTGAATAATAGTGGAGGAAATAGACACCTGTGTTTTGATACTGATTTTAGGGGATTCAGTTTTGCTCCTTTCATTGTGATGTTGCCTATCAGTTTGTGGCATATCACCTTTAGTAAGTTGAGGTATGTTCCTTCTGTTCCAACTTTTTCACAGATTTTATCATGAAAGTAGGTTGTATGTTTTAAAATTCCATTTCTGCATCTATTTGAGATGCTCATATGAGTTTTGTGTCTGATTCTGTTTATATGGTATAGTACATTTATTGATTTGCTTATGTTGAACAATCTATGCATCCTGGAATGAAACCAACTTGCTCATGGTGCATGAGTAAGTTTATAATGTGTTGTTCAATTTGAGTCTCAAGAATTTACTGAGATTTTTTTACATTAATGTTCATTAAAGAAATCAGTCTATAGTTTGTTATTTTTGTTGTTTGTTCTTATCCAGTATTGGTAACATGATAATTACTGCTTTCATAAATGAGTTTGGTAGTTTTCCTTCCCCTAATATTCATGAAATAATTTAAGAAGCATTAGTGTCAGTTCATATACAGTCTGATAGAATTCAACAGTGAACAGAACCAGTCTTGGGCATTCCTTTGTTGAAAGATTATTATTATGTTGTTCTGTCAATTTCACTGCTTGTTATAGCTATGTTACTTATATCATATTGGTTTAATTTTGGTAGGTCATATGTGTCTAGAAATTTAAACATTTCTTCTATATTTTTTAATTAATTGCAGTACAAGTTTTCAAAATATCCCCTAATAATCCTATGGATTTCATTGGTATCTGTTGAAATAGCATTTCCTTTAATGCTAATTTTATTAATTTGGTTTGTCTCTTTCTTTCTTTGGTTAATTAGGCTAAGGGTCTGTTGGTCTTGTTTATCATTTCAAAGAACCAAATCTTTATTTCATTAATTCTTTGTATTACTAAATAAGTCTCTAATTCATGAATTTCTCCCCTGATCATTATTTATTTCTTACTACTAGTTTAGGGTTTGATTTGTTTTGCTTTTCTAAGAGCTTGAGATGCATCATTAGGTTATTTACTTAAGATCCTCCAGATTATTTAACAACACCATTCTTTTTTTTTATTATTATCCTTAGTATAACTACCAACCTGGTATTTTTTTCTGCTTGATGGTTAGAAAGTTTTATACCTTTTATTAATCTGCCTACAGATGGGACATCAGTCTTTTTAGATAGCTGAAATTCACTGCATGTCATGTCAAACCATATTACAGTCTTTTTTTTTATTCATATGTGCATACAAGGCTTGGGTCATTTCTCCCCCCTGCCCCCACCCCCTCCCTTACCACCCACTCCGCCCCCTCGCTCTACCCCTCACCCCCTCAATACCCAGCAGAAACTATTTTGCACTTATCGCTAATTTTGTTGTAGAGAGTATAAGCTATAATAGGAAGGAACAAGGGTTTTTGCTGGTTGAGATAAGGATAGCTATACAGGGCATTGACTCACATT